CTCTCTGTATCGCGCACAGCGGAGTTCTGCCCCGATGCGCACACACAAGTGAGCACACTCCCACTAGTATTTGTAAATATTAAGCCGCAAAACGACTATTTAAATATGAATTCTGTGTGTTAATGAATGGTGCAGACACGCAGTTTTGGTTACTACTCGTACTGAAGTGCGCGTGACGCTTCCGGTGATATTAACTTCTGCCATCTCACTAATGAGGACATAAATACATGAACATCTCTAGAACTGCTCTGAGAGTCACTTCATGAGCATTTGACCATTTCATTTGAGTAAAACTATCCTCATAATATATATACACAGGAATGTAAAGGTATTCACGGCAACCCGTCAAAATAAAAGTTCGATTTAGCTTAAAGACATTGCGGCAGAAATATATTACTATTGTTCAGTAGAATGTACATAATAGGCTACTACTACTACTAAAATTATTAAAATCTTATTTTTAAGGAATAATCATACACTATTTCTTCAATGTTTTAATTGTAATATTAAATCCCCTTTATTTTCCAAAAATAAAATGTTTAATTTTCATTAATTAAAAGATTTTTAAAAGAGAAAGTTTTATGCCTTAAAAAATGTAAATGCACAACACAGAATTTCTAAAGAAAAAAAATAATAAGGCTATTGTAAGAATATATGAAACTTGTTTTTATGCTTTCAAATAATTAGACATGTTAATACACAGAATTTGGTAACAATAAAACACAAGGTTGGAAAAAATAAAACATTTCATAGGGCCCTAAACATGTAATTTTTGTTAAACTTTTGATCAATTAATGTTAAATTGTTTAAGTTTCATGATTTTAATTAATTAGCGATTAACATTACAATTATGTTTTTTGATTAATAAAATTTTATTTAACCATTAAAAAGGAGTCCAGAAAAATAGCCGTAAACCTAGGGGAAACACTGCTAATGGATATCATGCTGCTAAAGAGAATACAAGATGGGGGGAATCAATAACTTCCGCCCACTTCATGTCTGGTTTTGTTTAGAGCCAGTGATTACGAGTGGCAGAAGTGTGGCTCTTTGTCAGTCATTCTGGACTGTCCTCTGCTCTATGCTAATTAGATCTCACTTGTTTTTTTTTTTGCTGTTGTGATGGATGGTACTGGACATTTTCAAAAGCGACTGTCCAGACAAAAAGGCCACCAGCTGTACACAACCTTCTGTGTGTTTGTGTAGAGAGAGTGCAGCTAGAGGGACCGGTGACACTACTGACAGGTGTTTATTTCTTCTGAAATGCACTTCGACATTATTGGTCAATCTTTAGTCTGAGTGAAATGTAACTACCAAATAATTTTTGAAGTACTGGAAAGCTAATTCATTTTTTTCCTGTATACTGGCAATGAAATTGCCTCTCATTGCTAGAGGTCTGAGGAAACCAGCAAATGTTTGTTACAGAAAATAAGCGACACGTTTGTCAAAAAAAATATAATAATAAAAATTACTCTTTAAACCACATAAATGACTCATAAAAGCACCGGGCGTATACACAAGAGATTTTGCACTTTTTTCAATGAAGGATCTGCTTTCAAACGACTGCAACAGGATGCCAGAAGCCTGACATTTTCTGTGCTTTGAGAGTTCATTGCTACTCTTGCTCTAGGTCAAAAATCTGTTGAGAGGGAATCTGTGTCTCATATGAGCTCATCATCAACAAGTAATGACCAATAAGCTTGCGTTGATTAGCATAGCTGAGTTTGTCTCTTATACACACACACACACACTGAACCCTGCAGATGTACAGTATCCATGCCAACTGGCCTTACATAGATTAACAACACTGTATTACAATATAGGAACATGCCAACACAGACAACAAATCTGTGTTATTAAAAAAAAACAACTCTTGTTTATCATCATAAGCCAAACAATGCAAGATGCCTCTCAGTCTAATGGCAGCTCATTTCAGCTGGACATGAGTATTGTAATGGGAACAGAGCAGGCCAGAGCGAAGTACACACTCACTATTGTGCTCTCCCGTTACTCCTCTACAGGAGTGATGCGTGCCCAGCTGTGAGATGGAATGCTATTGGCTGAGATGTCTTGTAGTACAGAGGGGCATTGTGTGGTGGGATGGTCTCACTGATTTATTATGTGAGGTACTGGAATGCTGTTCCAAAAGACAGAGTATTTGGCGCTATAGTGTTCACCAGCATGCTATCCATGTGTTTCCAAGCCAAGACGTGATCCTGATGGATCTTACTGCATTCCACTACCAAAAGTCTCTACTTTTCATGAAAGTACTTTCTACTTTTCATGAACAGTAAGATTAAAAAGACAAAGACTTACTCAATAATATGGTCTATCTGTCTATCTATCTACATACACATACATACATACATACAGATAGATAGATAGATAGATAGATAGATAGATAGATAGATAGATAGATATTATACAAATAAACAAAATAATAGTAAAATAAGTTTGTTAAAAAGAAACACATTTTTATACATAAAATATTAAATTAAATGTATATTTTATTATATATGAATGTATAATATATTATGCTGTTTAAATAAAAAATGTTTGTGATATTCCTCAAAAATAATGTATTAATACATTTATGATTATGATTATTACATTCTATCCTGCAAAAGTAATATATTTATGCCATAATTTCTTTAAATTTGACTGAACGTTGAGTGAAGACCTGAGTTTCTGTGTGTTTTAATACATTGTATAATCATTATTATCACTGTGAAAAAATACATTCTGCTATGCAGTAGTAATGTATTTCTATTATAATTTCTTCAAGTTATATTTACATATACATTTATAATAAAATTCAGTAAATAAATTATTGTTTTTTTCATATAAGTTTTTCCAAAAATTACAACTGTCCATGTGTGGCATGCATTTCAATAAATAATTCTGCCCATAATTAAATTTTTTCTCTCTCTTTTTTCCTCTTTTCTTCAGCATTCAGTGGACAAGAAATAGTTGTCAGTGAGAGGCTTGCTAAATTAGCCTTACCAAGACAAGTCCAACAAATATTTATAAAAAAAAATCTTTTCTACCAACAAGTCATGGAAATAACATTTGATCATGTAGGTGAAAAACCACAAAAAAAAAGAAAAACACCAATGTGAACTCTACTGTGAAAGAAGTATATACACTGTTGGACACTGTTAGCAGACCAAACCAGTTTCAATAAGAGTTTTAAGGGTGTCAAAACTGCCCCTGCTAGTTGAAGAAACACAGTTGTGCCATTGTAATTGTCACTCAATGGTCATTCTGTCTCCAATAAATGACAAAGCCCAGTCTACCTCTATAAATGACCAAAAAAACTTTTTTGTAGCACTCAAGCGTGCACCCACCCGGTGTTGTCAAAGCTCCATTCAAAATTCATTTTGAGCAGCTAATGCACAAAGACCAGCAACTGCCCTGATGTCAAGCAGATGCTCTGAGAGAGAGAGAAACCAGCTCTGCCACTTACCTCTGTCACTGTAGTCGTCTACCAGTATGATCTCTGCGATCAGGTGGTCGGGTGTGCGGTTGGTGATGCTGAGGATGGTTCTGAGCAGAGAGGACCAGCCTTCATTATGGAACGGGATGATAATACTTGTGTTTGGGAGGTTTTCAAGATACAGCTTCTGCTTACAGCTACAGAAAAGAAAGAATGATACAGAGAGTGAGATTGAGGCAGGCAAACACTACTGTATCTACTTATGCTTTACATAACAGAGCAGGCCAGAGCGAAGTACACACTCACTATTGTGCTCTCCCGTTACTCCTCTACAGGAGTGATGCGTGCCCAGCTGTGAGATGGAATGCTATTGGCTGAGATGTCTTGTAGTACAGAGGGGCATTGTGTGGTGGGATGGTCTCACTGATTTATTATGTGAGGTACTGGAATGCTGTTCCAAAAGACAGAGTATTTGGCGCTATAGTGTTCACCAGCATGCTATCCATGTGTTTCCAAGCCAAGACGTGATCCTGATGGATCTTACTGCATTCCACTACCAAAAGTCTCTACTTTTCATGAAAGTACTTTCTACTTTTCATGAACAGTAAGATTAAAAAGACAAAGACTTACTCAATAATATGGTCTATCTGTCTATCTATCTACATACACATACATACATACATACAGATAGATAGATAGATAGATAGATAGATAGATAGATAGATATTATACAAATCAACAAAATAATAGTAAAATAAGTTTGTTAAAAAGAAACACATTTTTATACATAAAATATTAAATTAAATGTATATTTTATTATATATGAATGTATAATATATTATGCTGTTTAAATAAAAAATGTTTGTGATATTCCTCAAAAATAATGTATTAATACATTTATGATTATGATTATTACATTCTATCCTGCAAAAGTAATATATTTATGCCATAATTTCTTTAAATTTGACTGAACGTTGAGTGAAGACCTGAGTTTCTGTGTGTTTTAATACATTGTATAATCATTATTATCACTGTGAAAAAATACATTCTGCTATGCAGTAGTAATGTATTTCTATTATAATTTCTTCAAGTTATATTTACATATACATTTATAATAAAATTCAGTGAATAAATTATTGTTTTTTTCATATAAGTTTTTCCAAAAATTACAACTGTCCATGTGTGGCATGCATTTCAATAAATAATTCTGCCCATAATTAAATTTTTTCTCTCTCTTTTTTCCTCTTTTCTTCAGCATTCAGTGGACAAGAAATAGTTGTCAGTGAGAGGCTTGCTAAATTAGCCTTACCAAGACAAGTCCAACAAATATTTATAAAAAAAAATCTTTTCTACCAACAAGTCATGGAAATAACATTTGATCATGTAGGTGAAAAACCACAAAAAAAAAGAAAAACACCAATGTGAACTCTACTGTGAAAGAAGTATATACACTGTTGGACACTGTTAGCAGACCAAACCAGTTTCAATAAGAGTTTTAAGGGTGTCAAAACTGCCCCTGCTAGTTGAAGAAACACAGTTGTGCCATTGTAATTGTCACTCAATGGTCATTCTGTCTCCAATAAATGACAAAGCCCAGTCTACCTCTATAAATGACCAAAAAAACTTTTTTGTAGCACTCAAGCGTGCACCCACCCGGTGTTGTCAAAGCTCCATTCAAAATTCATTTTGAGCAGCTAATGCACAAAGACCAGCAACTGCCCTGATGTCAAGCAGATGCTCTGAGAGAGAGAGAAACCAGCTCTGCCACTTACCTCTGTCACTGTAGTCGTCTACCAGTATGATCTCTGCGATCAGGTGGTCGGGTGTGCGGTTGGTGATGCTGAGGATGGTTCTGAGCAGAGAGGACCAGCCTTCATTATGGAACGGGATGATAATACTTGTGTTTGGGAGGTTTTCAAGATACAGCTTCTGCTTACAGCTACAGAAAAGAAAGAATGATACAGAGAGTGAGATTGAGGCAGGCAAACACTACTGTATCTACTTATGCTTTACATAAAATGCTTGATCTGTGCATCAACGTATAATCCACATATTGTAAGACACTTAACAAACACTCCCAACATTGCATAAGCCTCTTCAGAACAATGATGTGTGAAATACAAATCGTGTCGCTTATTGCACTAGATCTTGACAAACTGTAAAAACATTATTTGAAAACAAAAGGACCCGCATGGGCCACCCCAACGCCGTGGGCAACGGCGACGGAGCTCAGATCATAAATCAATGTTTTGAGAGGTCCTTCAGTCCCAGCGTGCTCATAAAGCATTCAGAAATCTGCATGCTAATTGAGCTCCGACAAAGCCGGCACTGACAGATGAAGTGGCACTTTATGGCTCACACCGGTCTCTCTAATTCAGCACCCTGACAAACTTGGCAAGCCGGCCCTAATTCATACACCTCCATATAATAATCATTCTCAGGGTGCTGCATGGTTTATTAACATTTCACTTCCATGGAGGTGGAAAAAACGACAGAAAACAAAAATACAGTGTAAAGAGAACCACCATGGTGAACGAATGCATTCTGGAGAGGAGCCAGCATCTAAAACAGCCCTGTCTGACCTGTCAGATCAGTCTACTAATGAAATACAGTTCAGGAAGAAAAAGGCACTCCATTTGCATAGTAATAGACAGACAGTGTCATGTGCATTACTGGAACATGCAACTGTCACATACGGCAAATGCTCCAAATCGGTATTAAAGAATATTCATTTGCATGAAAGTGCTACAGTTCAGGATTTGGGCTATGGTATTTGTGGAAAGAGAAGTATGTTGTGTTCTAAAATCTACAAAGAAAGATTTTTTTTATCCAGTGATAAAAATGTTATTTTCCATGTGTCACTATTAGGATGTTGTTTACGATTCCTGTCCTTGAGGCCCTCAAATAGCATCTTTTTTTTTTTTTGCTTTCGCCTCAATTCAACAATCCATATTCTATCTGATTAAAATAACTTTTACATTTGGGGTAATAACAAAAATATGTATTTTTGTAAGAAGTGTGTTTGTGTGTGTGTGTGTGTGTGTGTGCGTGTGCGTGTGAATTTTAATGTTTTTAAAAGAAGACTCTTATGCTCACCAAAGCCATTTATTTGATCAAAATACAGTAAAAACATGAATATTGTGGAATTGTTTTCTGTTTGAATGCATTTTAAAATGTGATGCAAAGCTGAGCCATTTCAGCAGCCATTACTCCAGTCTTTAGTGTCATATGATCCTTCAGAAATCAGTATAATATAATATAATATAATATAATAAAATATAATATAATATAAGCATTAACGTCTTAAA